TGATCTATGAGGGGCTGTTATTTGACAAATGAAAATTATGTAAACAGTACTCAAACTCAATCTTGCCTCATGATGACTCTGTCTGTTCCATACCCCCTGCCTACAGTGCCCAGAACAGCCAGCTGTTATCTCATGATAAATATCGAGGATAAAATTATCATCAGACAGCACCAGGTTGTCTGCATGATGTAATCCTGACTCTTTTAGGTAGCTGGAGCTCTTTTAGCTCTCTTAGGTAGTCTGGAGTGTTTCTGGAGGTGTATCTCACACATTTCCAGAAAGTAATTTTCATTTCAGTGGTTGTTGAAATAATTTCTGCAGAAATTTTTGCTAAGAAATCTAAGATGTGCTGTTTCTAAGGGTACTGAATACATTAAAATCACTGTTGTTTGATACCAAGCACCCCAAAAACTGTTTTCAGCAAAGTCCTTCTGCAGGTGTGACTTGCTTCACTCCTGCCAGGCTCTGCAATCCTGGCAGGAGCCCCTTCCTAAAATTCTCCTCCAGCACCAAGGTTGCTCCTTTCTCCTCTTAGCCCCATGGATCTGTAATCCTCCTCCCCCAGCCTGCAGAGCAGCTCAGAAAACACCAATGACACAGCATAAAAAAGTCCTACAAGGGCTGGAGTACTCCTCTATTTATAGGTCGCTAAATCTGACTAAAAAAAACTTCCAGAGAGCACCAGTCAAATTGCTACCTAGACGTTTCCAGGCCCAGCCAGGGCATGCTGGCTTACTGCCATGTTTTTAAATCCTACCCTGTGCATTGAGCTTTCTTAGGAAAATCTGCTAGTGCTCATATGTGGGCTGTTACTATTGACACAAACATTAATGAACATTCCCCTATTGCTTCCTTACTAAGCTGCAAGTGCGAGAAACCAAAACAATAGCATGACCTGACAGTCTCAGGCATGTAAGCACATCCAGCACTTCTATTTCAGATGTGTAGCTGAGTGCAGCTCACTTAGAAAGGGAATAATTTGGGTTTAAGTGTTATGTTTGTTTTTTCTTCTAAGACTATGTTTTTTGCTGGCTGAATTCTACACTGGGAAAAAAATGTTTCATCAACAACAAAGTAGGTTGGAGTGGTTCTGCAATTCGTGATGGATTGGCTGAGCCTTCCTCTCACACAATCAGTGAAATAAGAGATGTTCCATACAATAAGAGTCACAGGGACAACTTCAGAACAAAGCAAACCTCTTAGAATTGTCTCTCAGAATAAGAACTGATAATCTTGTTACCCTAGGGAGCACAGAAAAGGGACCTACACACAAAAGAGCCAGAATCCCCTCATCTTCCTTCAAAATATGAGCACATAAACTGAGAGCCTCACAGCTTTAACTCTGAGATGCTGTTCAGGTATCACCTAATCCAGGACATATCTGAACTCCTCAGCAGCTCACACCCCAGCCTCAGGCTGCCCTGCACACCTGATGTCCCATGTGCAGAAGCAGCTGAGCTGTGGTCGTGTTGGCAGGCTCATCCCGCTATCAGGAGGAGCTCTAGAAACCCAGAGATAAACCAACCAACCTGAGGTGCAGCAGGGGTGACTCCTGACTATGGACAGTCGGGTTCAAAGCTGTTTCCACTCTGCACCAAAGGCCAAAGCCTCTCTCTGCTGACTGCAGAGAGCCATCCAGGGAGACTCGACTGCTGGGCTAACCAGCCCCGGGTGTGCTCTGCTCCCTGCCTTCCCCAGGGCCTCAATTCACTATTATTTTCTGAACACGGTCTCTTCCAGACTAATTAAATGCAGTGGGGATGGATTGAAAGGAGAAATCCAGGAGGTGAATTTCTGCCGTTCTTCTACTCGTTTTATAAGGGCCCCATAGAGAGAGCCCTCGCACAACCCCACACCACCCACACCCCGAACTTGCTGTGACAGTGATAAGGGGAAGAGGAGAGTTCTGATATTGTCTGGCCCAAGGAATGTACTCACAGGCAGCTCCACTTCATGCACCTGATTTATAACAAGGGTCAGAATAATTCCCAAGCAGCTCCTGCATCAGGGAGCAAACTAATTCCTTTCCTCTCTCCTCGGCTGCGCAGCCCAGAGTCCAGCTGCACCCAAGGTTCCAGCTCACAGTCTATATTCTGCATCATAAAAGAGACAAGAGAGAAATCTAAACTGGAGAAGTAATAACCTGTAAACTAATAAACCAACCCAGCACTTTGATAGTGAGGCACTCCCCAGAGCAGGGATTATTAATGGGTATCCTGAAACAGTGTGTGTCTGTGTTTGAGAGTAGTGGGAAATATTTCTGATGCTCTGTGGATCTTACACATATGCTCTTATAAAATCAGTTCAGACAAATGCAAAGACTATTATAAAAGCAGCCTCCTTCCAGTCTACACACAGAGGCTCTTAAGCAGTTTAAAAAGAAAAGCAGCACAAAACCGCTTGAATAAATAATAATAAAGGTATTAAGCTGCAGTATTAGGAGTAGTTTTGCTTGTCAAAGTATGGGGCTGCACTGTCATTGATTTTCTCTTATAATTGAGATAGTGACATGCATGACTTATGTTTCTTTGGCAGCGAGTGCATGGGAATGGAAGAAGGGATCTTGAAATCCAGTGAAATCTCCAGCTGAGGATTTGATGGCTCTGAAACTGCTGTCGGTCTTGGTTCTTTATTTCCCTCGAACCATAAAATGGGTTATATTAACAATCTGTTATGATGAAAGACAGTTCATGAAGCTAAATGTAATAACGTTTGCAATGTGATCACGGATCTGTGGAGGTAAAGTGTGATAGTAACCAGGAGTGTGAGTATGGATACAGACCCTTCTCAGCCAGAAATGCTGGGAAGCAGATGACAGGCAGACAGATACCCCCAGGGAAGGTCCTATTACCTGTCCTGGTGCTCATTCTCAAATCCCCATCCCCTGCCTCAGTCACACAAACAGGAGTCTTCTCCTTAGTTCATTTTTTAATGTATTCATTTTCAGTGATGAGGATTCAGTGCTCAGTTGCTTCAGTTTGCTATATCCCACCTCAGCTACATGCCATAATGAGACATCCAATTGACTGAAACTCTGAAAGACAACTTTTTTTTTTGTCCCAAACTAATGCCAAACAGCAAAGAATGATGTTTCCATGTAAATCTGAACTACAGTGGACTCCCTTTGTTCCCCTGTCATGTAAAAAATAAAATAAAGTCTGGCAAGGATAGCAGGAAGAATCCAGTCCTTTGTGTCCCGAAGTAAAGTTACTCTCTGGAGAAGGCAGAACAGGAATAAACTTCTTTATGAGTCAGGAGGTTTTACTGACAATAGCTGCTATTATCTCTGTCAAACAGGCAAAGCCTCGAGTGATTGTGGCAAGCAAGAAAGAGGAATGCTGTTTATTCAGTGCTGGAAAACAGACTATTTGCCAGACTGCAAAGAGTACCGAAAAGGTATCGAGTCTCTGTTTGAATTAACCACAAAAATAACCTGCTGAATGAAGAGCTTTTCCATGGACCTCTGCTGCTCTCTAATGGTGCCTTAAAGGATTCTCAGCACAAAGTCTATGTGTTCCTCCTGTAACCAAGTTTCGTAAAACTTTTAATGCAAAACAAACAAAAGAAGCATTCATGAAGTCCTTCGGAGATGTTACCTGAACAGATAACCCACAGGTCAGGTAGCTATTGCTGTACCCATGGCCAGGACATTTGGGATGTGGTGAGGATGCTAATAAAGGAGAGCTAAAACATGGGAATGCAGGTTTGGACTGTATTTTAGATGCAGCAATTGCAGGAGTCTGGGAGATTGCAAACTTCTGGGAAATACCAATTTTCAGGGCTTTGTATAAATTAGAATACAAAATTTTTGTTCATGACTACCAGTATTTCAAAGGAAAAAAATAGCACTGTATTAATTTGGTATAATTAATATAAACTAATATTAATTGCACTTGAGACAGAACATTTGGTTTCACTCTCCTCACACAGATGCCTTTATTTTATCCAGCAATACAGTTCCTTCGAGCATCTGCCAATGCTCAGTCAGCTAATAGCAAGGCCACTTCCACGACCAAAACCAGCCTTGTTTTTATAGAATCACAGAATGGTTTGGGACCTTAAATATCATCTTGTTTCACCCTGTTGTGGGTGACACCTTCCACTATCCCAGGCTGTTCCAAGCCCTGTCCAACCTGGCCTTGGGCACCTCCAGGGATGGGACAACCACAGCTGCTCTGGGCACCCTGTGCCAGGGCCTCAGCACCCTTATAGGGAAGTCTGAGCCCTGACAGCCAATATACATTTCTTCCCTTTAAGTTTAAAAGCATTCACCTTGTCCTAGCTCTGTCTGCCTATGTAAAAAGTTGCCTCGTTTACACAAGCCTACGTTATAAGCCACTTTTAGTAAGATGGGAAAGCACACTTGGGGTCTCACAGCATGGCCTAATGAAATCCAGTACTGGGAGTGATCGTATCCCATGGGGAAAATGAGGGAAAAACAGTATTCACAGCCCTTCTCGGTCCCCAGGTCACCTGTCCCCTCACAGCCACCCCCTCATGGCGCTGGGGGGTCCTGCGCTGTGACTCCTGCCCAGCTCCCGGCATGAAACGGGGAGAAACGGGGCCTGGAGACCGGACCGGGGGAAGGGGTTCATCCCCGGAGAAGGGGCTCATCCCCGAAGAAAGATATCATCCTCAGAGAAGGGGTTCATCCCCGGAGAAGGGGCTCATCCCCGGGGACCATCCCCGGAGGAGGGAGCGGGTGCGGCAGCCCTGCCCGGGGCCGGCGAAGGGCCGTGAGGAGAGCGCAGGGGGGCCGGAGATGGCGCCTTGCCGCGGCGGGTAATGGCGGCGGCGCTGAGGGAAGGGGAGGGGACAGGCCGTGAGGGCAGCGGCCGCCCTGCGCCATCGCCCCCCGCCGGCTGCGGGAGGGAGAGAGGGAGGGATGGGAAGGGAAAGGAAAAGAAAGGCGCCGCTTCCGCCACGGCGGGGCGGGCCCGGGCGGAGAGCGGCGGCGCGGCGGGGCTGGCAAGGGTAGGGGCGGTGAGGGCCGCGGCCCGGCGGGATGGGGGTGGCTGTCTCCATGTCTCCCTCAGGAAAAGCCTGGTGGAGCTGGGGGGGAAAGCAGGGTTTCCCCCTGGGTACCAGCTATCCGCGTTAGCGGGGCCCCTGTCAGAGGCAGCAGGGCCAGGCGGGGGCAGTGATGCCATCGCTGCGGGGCTGCGAAGTCCCCCCCCCAGTCAGGGGTGCGGGTTTGCACTGAAATTAACTTAACCGTGGGTATTTCAACTTATGGAAAGGATTCGGTCTTTTTGTAGCTCGTGGCGCTTGTTTTTAATCCAATGTTGTCATACTGTTGTTGTCGTTTTGTTCTTTTTCGGAAGCGATGGAAGCGGGTCCCATCGTGACGTCCAAGCAGCGAGAGGAGGTGGTGCACGGCGTGCCGACGGAGGTGGTGTGCACGGCCTTCTCCAACTCGGTCCTCGTGGTGGTCACTCAGTACGGCAAGATGGGGACCATCGTCTACGTGGACCCCAACACCATCGGCGACAACGTGGGCAGGCCCTCGCTCACCACGAAGGTGCTGCTGGGCAAGGATGAGGTGAGGTGAGAGCGGATGCGAAGCGCAGAGGCAGCAAGGATAAGGGGGAAATGTGGTAGGTGGGGCTGTGCGAGTTGCCAGGGAGTTGATGAATCACAGCAGTTAAGCAGTGTTTGAATAGTGATAAGATTAATTTTAAAATGAGGAAAGAGGGGCTCATCAGAAAAGTATGTGTGCTCGTCTGCTCTTGGACATAAAAGTTTAACTAAGCGTGAGTGGTTTGCCGATCTGTTGTTTTGTGTCCTGCAGGATATGGATTGCTTCTGCATGTTTATGGAAAGTTTGATAAAGTTCTGTTGATTTAAGGGTTGCAAGATTAAATATGCAGCCATTGATAACCTTTTTGGGTTTCTGTTCCAGTGAGTTTGTTTTCTTTTTCAGGTCTATTTTCCCACCCCCATCCTCCCCCGTCTATGCCAGCCCCATGGTGAACTTTAGTTGCCCACTCCCAAGTGTGCCTGCCAGCACCTTCCCTTGATAAAGTTTAATTTGTTTTGCTTCAACAAAATGAGGTTTTTATCGACCATTTCACAAAGCTAGAGAGAAAGCAGAAGCAAATGTGTTTCGTAAAGCATCTACTGGTAAAACATTAAAACAGAAAGTTACAGAGCTACAAGATTATGAGGCTTTCCACCAGGGTTGAAGAATTCATGAATATGAATCACATATTACTTGCTAGCTTTAACTAGACAAGCTATAGCAGCACGAGTTCCTGATTCTATCCATGACTTCCCCTTGTGGAGTTCTTTCTCTTGAGCAATAGCCTTCCCTTTTTGGGAGATATTTTGCTTTCTCTGCTTTGATATCTGCAAATGATGACCACCTCCACCCCCAAGCTTATTTTGGGTTTTATTTGGAGATGGGAAGTGCTATGTTTACTTTGATCATTCTATTTTTAAATACTTTTAACTAACTGATCTAAAGTTCAAGAAAAGACTTTCACTAGTTTGCTGCTTTCCTGCTTGTCACTGCTAACATCCTTCTTTGGGATGTTGCACACTTCCAAACAGCAGCTAAAATCAAGCAAACTCATCCTTCCAACAACTACACAGCTATGGGTGTAAATAAACCCTAGACAAGCTGGGTGGTTCCAAGCTGTGCTGGATGAGGTTGAGACTGGGCATGAGACAACACCTCTTCACCAAGAGTGTGGTCAGACACTGGAACAGGCTTGAGGTGGTTGAGGCTCTGAGCCTGTCAGTGTTTAAGAGCCATTTGGACACTCCCCTGAATAATGTGTTAACCTGGTCAGCTCTGAGTTGTTCAGGCAGTTGGGCTAGATGTCATCGTAGGTGCCTTCCAAGTGAAATAGTCAATGCTGTTCTGCTCTATTCTTGTTAAAGAAACCTCATGGAAAAGGTTATATCCCTTTTTTTGCCTCCTTCAGCCTCACTACTTATTTCTGCTTTTCATTATTCTATTAAAATAAAAAGCAACATGTCTGTAACACCAGGCATACAAAAACTGTGTATATAACACCATTTGGGGATCTCTAGGAATTACAAAAATAACAGCTTTTTTCCAGAGCTTGTCAGTGGAACATCCCCTCTTCAGAACAAATTTTTAAACAAAAAAACTGTACTTGCAAACTTCTTTAGAAACCTGGCTGTGAAGGAAATAAAGGCATTTGGATCCACAGCATTTCATATAATTTAACACTGGTGCCATAGTTTAGGTGGGAGGATTATGGAAGGAAGGATTCTCTGTACTGAGTTTCCAAGTTTCCCAGACAGTGCTGAACTCAATTCAAGTAGTTTCAGGGTGGTGTGGGTGGCTGGCACACTCATGGGACCAAACTCTTCCCTTTTGAGCTGGTTGAGAAAGTGCTTTCTGGAGTTCCCTGTCCTGTGGCTTCCCTTTGCTGACCATGTTGGAACTCCTCAGTGGGAGTCCAGGATCAACAGGTTCTCCACGTCAGTGCAGGACTCTTCCTCTCCTAACTCCTGCAGGAGGGCTCTCCCATCTGTAGGAGTGTACATCTGTATCCCTTTGCTTTTCAGCCCCTCGTTCATGTTTGTGCCAAAAACCTGGTGGCATTCGTGTCGCAGGAAGCTGGGAACAAACCTGTTCTCCTCGCCATGGCTTTGAAGGACAAAACCATGGAAGGAATACAGGCTCTACGAGAAGTGATCCGAAGTTGCCAAGTGTGGTGAAGTTGTGCCATCTGGATTCAAGGAAATGATCTTGAGCCCATGACTCATCACCACCTATTTAAAAGGACTAGAAATGAAAATGATGGAATGTCTTTGTGGTGGTTTTGGACGTCCTGAGGAATTTCATGAATTTTTCTCTACTGTGTAGAACATTTGTGGGTTTTATTACTGGGACAGGTTTGCAAGTCCATATAGACAGTGGTGAGACGAGAGCAATTGTCTCAACATAGAAGTGCTACTTTTATCATGGTGGGTGGATCATTTTTTTGGGAAAGGGCTCAGCTCTGCACATGTGTCCTGAGCAGCAGCAGATGCCAAGCTCTGTAGCTGTGCCATACCGCAAAGGGGGAACACCCAGAACACCCAGTGCAGAGAGAATAAAAGAAACATTGTCAAATCAAATTTTACCTGTTTTCTTTTTTGCTCTGTGAGAATCACTTCAATTGAAATACAAACCTTGGTAAAAAATCAACAGTTGTATAATGGGAAAGGTTTTCTTGCCTTTTTTTAGGAAATGAGTCCTAGATGGCTGCTTTTGTCCTTATGTCCATTCCTTTCTGGATGTAGACTGAATTCATTTTCTACTTTCACTCTGATTTTAAAGAGAGGCAGATCATGACGCTCTGCAGATTTCATGAAAGCTAATGTCAGGGTGGAAGACAGGAACCCAAAAGAGTTGTAAGAAATAATCTCTGCTAATGGATTACGTGGTACCAACACATCGGAAAAACAGAACATCCATAGGCTGATCACCTGCAATGAGCATCTGTCTTAAGAGACATGGGGACAGATGGTTTGAGGGGTTACACAGGGGTGTTACTGCCAATTCATTTACAAAAAGTGTCAGATTAGTTGCATGAGCTGATGCAAAGATTAGTAGCCAAACTTTTGCCTTTTGCTTGGAAAGCACATTTGTTTTCACTTCTTGTAATAAACAACAACAAGTAGTAAATTTTTAAGTGAGCTGTTACACACTTTCGTCACTTATGAACTTGACAGCCCGGACAGAGGCCAGGTCTTGGATTGTGGGCAGGGAGGAATTGTGCTAAGACCAATTGGTACAGCAGAATTAACACACAGCCTGTGCCTGCCCCATCATGGTGATCCAGCTGCCAGGTCATTCTGCTGCTGAAAAATCCCCTAGAAGTAGAAAAGCAGAAAATGGATTTTGAAAGGACTCTTTTCTCTGAAGTAAGAGTTATTTACAGCATTTAAAGGGATTATGAGAAATGAAAGTTTTTTAAAAATACAGTCAAACACTGCAGGCTTCCAGCTGCCCTTGACAAGAAATTTCATCTAAAAATAATTTTCTAAACTGTGCTTCCAAGAATCAAAGATTCGCATCTGTCAGAGCTATAAATTTTTCCTCTTTTACACTTCCCTTTTTTTTTTCTTTTTTTTTTCTTGTCTAGGAAGGCTGAGAGAGACATGTGGAATTAGTTATTGTCAATCTTGGTTTGCTAGTAGGGATTCTCTCCTGACAGAACTGAGGCTCTTACTGTGTCCATAGTTCCAGCAGCTTGAGGAGAACATGCATGAATCAGCAAATTGGATGGAAATTGCATTTTCACTGTGGCAATACAGTGGCATACCACTGCATGCCCTAAAGAACTGTGTGTTTACTACCTAAAAGCCAAGCACAAGTTAAGCACCTTCATTTCCTGGCTGTGTATGTGCCACCTGGTCTGCACAGGGTGGTGGGTGAGGAAAGGATGTGGAAACCTCTGTGATTTGATGCTTGGAGCCAGGACAGACTTACCTTGCTGCCTTTCCATGTGTGATAAATTAAGAGCACGAGCAATTGGTCCTTCGACTTTGCTCCTCTCCGCTGCACAATAAACCAAGGGGAAGGCCTGCTCAAACAACAGGCACAAGGTGCCACCAGCTGCCTGCCTTTTAGTCGTCGCTCTCCTCTAGGCAGGGATTAATTCCCAGTTGCTGGGAAAGCTGCCTCTGCCACCCAGGCAGAGCTCTTGCCCTCGGCAGGACGTGTGCTGGGCGGGGGGCAGCGGCGTCGGGCCGCACCGCAGCTTTCCATCCGTGTTTGCTTTCCGGGCGTGGGTGCCGAGCACGGCGGACTGGAAAGGTAAGTTGGGTAGCTTTTCTGCGGGACACAAAGCCCGACCTGCTGCTCCAGCTCCCGCGGGGCCCGGGGCGCAGGGAGGGCGCTGGCAGGGTGAGCCGGGCACAGCGAGGCGGTGCTGTAAGGTAAGCGGGGCCGGCCGGGCCCGGGCCACAGCAAGGCCCGTGGGGGGCTGGCAGGGACAGTGGGACGCTGGTGGGAAAAGCGGGGTGCTGGTGGGACAGGGGAGCAGCGAGGGCGAGTGGGGTGCTGCCAGGCCCAAGGGGAGCGGGGCACTTGCGAGAACCGGGGAGCAGCGAGGGTAAGCGGGGCAGCGGCAGGGCCCGCGGCCAGCGGGCGGGCAGGGCCGGGACGGTGTCCGGAGGAGGAGTCTCCAACCGTGCAGGTGGAGCAGGGCACGGGGGATGCACAGCCCGGTGCACGGCAGCCGGACTCCCTCCCGGAGCAGCCCCAAAGGGTGAGTGGGGCCCTGGGGGGTGTACGGCATGCTGGGGGAAACCCCACAAAGCAGGGTTGGCCCAGCCAGTGGTTCTGAGCACCTGTGGGAGCCGCTGGGAGGGCAGAGCCTGCTCTGAGAGCCCTGTGCCTGCGTCATGCACTCCTCCAGATGGGCTTCGGAGAGGGCTCGCTGCTGCCCTGCCGCGATTTGTAGCTGTGTGCTGCCGGTCCTTCCCCTTGAGTGGCCTGATGGTGGTGTGGAGAGGCTGGTCCCGTAAATAACCCGAGTGTCCTGGCTTTGTCTGACAGCAGTCCGGAGGAAAGGCATGCCTCCTGCTCTGGTGGGGCTAAACCGGCTAAACCTGGATGCTCCCTTCCCCAGGATGTGGGTCAGGGATCTCAGAGGTGCTTGCTGGGGGCTGCGAGGGCTCACCTTTCCCTGCTGACTTGCTTCACCCCACGGGGGATTGCCACTGAAGTGGGAATTTGTCCTGGGTGCTGCAGGACACAGGGAGGGACGTGAGCTGGGAGTCTGGGCTCTGGCAGCCGGCAGATGGAGGGGAATCCCTGGCAAGGTGAAAAGCCCATTTGCAGGTGGTCTGCCTGAATACAAGCTTCACTGCTCCGTTTATCTTTTCAGTTTTCACTTAGCATCTCTAATATCCCAGGGAGTGTGTGTAACAGGTAGACACTGTATGGCACGTACCTGCAAGGTGTCTGAAAACAGACAGATTGGATATGGCTCAGTCCCATGGAGGAGCTGAATTTTGCAGCTGGTGTTATTCCCGGTGTCTCGTTGCTGCCTTTGTTTTGGAAGCAAATGGCTCTCTAACTGCATTGAATTGCCTGACTACCTTGCACGGCCGGGATCTAATTACCTGTGGAGCTGGGAGCCCTGTCTCTGAACGGCACCGAGGCTTTTGCTTTTAATGACTTGTTCTGCAATGTTCAGAGTGTGACAATGTCGGGGAGGCTGCCAGGACTGGCTGTTGGTGCCACCGTGCTCACACCGCGATGGCTGGGAAAGTTAATAGGAGATGGGATGTCTTGGGACAAGCATCTGTGGCACAGCACTGCGTTGAAAACAGAATAAATGGATCTAGTGAAGAGCACAGCTCTCTGCCGTGTCTTGGGGAGTAGGCTGGATCACTAGAAAAGTGGCTAGAAAAACACAGCTAGAAAGAGTGAGCTTTCATCCTGCTCTGTCATGATGCTCTGGCGGAGGCAAAGCGTGGCCAAATCCAGCTATTTAGCCCCAGCCAGCAGCAGGGCAGCCCCAGAAGGAGTGAGGAGTGATTTGGGATCTGGGCACAGCCGGACTCTCATCTCCTTCCCGGTGCCACGAGCTATCTCCGTCCTCCTGTTAATGTTTACACGGCAGGTCCGGCAGCATCCAAGTCTGTCCAAAGACCAGCTCCCGCCCCGGCTTTCCCGGGATCCTTTTTCCTGCTGCCAGGGCAGGACCACAGGACGGTGGCAGGGGGAAGAGCGCGGCTCCCTGCTGCCTGTGTAACACTATCGGCCCCGCTGCTGTCCCGCAGCAGCTCCAGCCCCGCTCCCAGCGCGCAGCTACTCCGGGCTGAGCTGCTGGGGCCTCGCCAGCTGCCCGGGCATCTCCGCTTACAGCACTGCTGCCAGGCGGAGCCGGGGAAAGGTATTTTTAGGGCTGTTGATCTGACACCAGCTGAGTTTGCTCTCCGGTGAGGTTGGGGTTCGGTGAGAGGGCAGAACAGGGAGCCGCAGGGTCAGCTCTTGCTTTGGTTTGTTTAATTGGACCGAGGTCATTCCCTGCCGCTCTTATCTGTGGCAGATATTTTTATGCTCCTCTGCAGTTCATGCTTACAGTTTTACCACAGGTGATAGTTACCCAGCAGCTAAAATATTTGTTTATTAACAGTGCACTGAGAAGCGTCTATATTGTTAGAGTTCAGCTTGCAGATTGTTGGGTTTTTAAACCACTATTGTTATACTTGGGAAAAAGCAGCTTTCCATAGATTAACAGAAAGAAAACCCAAACATGGCAGTTTATACATCTGTTGGCCTTGAGATATGAAGCTGCCCTATAAATAATTGCTTATTATTAGGTTGGTCCTTGCTGTCTGTAACCACAGGGTACACGGTGTCCATATGCCCAGCCACCCTCTGCACCAGGAATGCTCAGTGCCTTGGGGCAGCCAGCTTTGAGGAGCACACGCCGAGCAGGGAGATGCCAGAGCACTCCTGCATCCCCAAGGGCAGCAGCTCTGCCTCTGCCATGGCAAGCTTGCTCCCTTGTGCTCAATTTGGGTGCAGGAGGGACTGCTGGCTGTCCTTCAGGTCTTGGGGTTGGCACTGCTGGCACACTGACACCCCCACAATCCCAAAATAGCTGGGTGAAGAATGTGGGTGACACTAAATGTCTGGTTTCTTGGGCATCCCCAGGCTTTGCCCCCAGCAGGCCACACATTATGAAAGGAGCTAAATTTGGGGAGGACCTGGTGTTTTCTGGGCTCCCAAGGAAGATGACACGAGTGTCCTGATGGCTTGTTGGTAAGGGACTCTATTATCCTGGGTGAGGGATTGGTTTAATCCTTAAGTCTCCGGTTTCTGATGAAAAAGGTTCCTGAGCCACAAGTGTGAACTCACAGGGGTGCAAATATGCACAGATCAGTCCCTTTCAAGTGGCAGTGAGTCCTGAAAAAGTAAGGAGCAAAGCTGGGAAGGAGAAGTGTGTCTTTTGGGAGACATGGGAACTGCATGGACCTCAGGAAAAAGAGGGTCTTCTCCTGAAGGATATTTGTATTTGCTTGCTGGGAGAAGTAAACACAATCATGGCAAAGGGGCTGGTTTGGGTGAAGGACACCCTGGAAAAGCCCTGGGGAGGAGATAAACCTCACAGGAGGTTTGTACATGCTGTGTGGGCTGGGAAATCTGCTGGGACCTTCCCTGTCCTGCACCACTCCCCTTCCCTCTCCCTCCCTGCAGATGAG